AGTGCAGCTCGTCAGGGTACTAGCGAATCGGGCACCAGAAACAACGGATATTTTTAAAATATGCAGTAAACACATTTTCCAGAAAACTCCCTAGCTTTCAAACGATTTTTGAAAACAATTTGCAGTTCAAATTATGCACTTTCAAGATTACTATAATTAAAATTAGAGGAAAAAAATCTTTCCTTTCCTAGACTGACTAGTACCAGTGCCATGGTTTTTCTGTGGTCTTTTGACCCTATTGTCTTTCATCACGTACAGGTAGAACACTGAGGTGTTGTGTTCACAAATCGCAACTCATGCAATCTACTGTCATCTGTAAAATGAGGATCTGCTGTGAACAGGACAAGGGTTGTAGTTTGCTCTATGACTTAAAATTATTAAATGTCTACATCACCAAAATAAACAGCTTTAACTCATTTCCCCAGTGCTAATCTCAAATTTTTGACCAGGAAGCTTGCTTTCATCCATTGCCCATTATCGCTAAGGGCTAGCAGCCTGTGAATGACAGTTTAAGTACAGCAAGTCACAGCTGATAGGACTCCAAAAAGTTTTCACATTCACTTTCATCTTATTCCAGGAATGTGTCTGGGATTGTATGTAAAAGCTCATTCCACTCAGTTTTCAGAAACTGAGAAGCAGAACCAAATTAAGCTAATCTGACAGATAAATAATTCCAGAGAGGTGAAAACTCTGTCCTAATCATTGACTCTAGGAACAAAAGCAGAAACTTTCCCAGAGCTTCACTATCTTGCCTAGGCTAGAATTGCTCACATTTTAGCTGTTTAGACACTGGCATATCTTTATTTAGCTTTTTTTTCTTTTTTTTTTTTTTTTTTTGCTTTTCTAAAGCTTATTATTGAGCACATTTTCATAGGGAAAGTTAAACAACTGGATTTGAAAAAAAAAAACCCTCACTTTGGAGGAGACATTTGACACTGAAACCACTGTTATTTTTACAGGCTTGTGTTTTTAGAAGTTGATGAACTGTTTCACTTCAAAGTTAATAAATAAAATGTTTAACTCACCTCTAGTAGATGCAAAGAAAATGTATGCAAAGTTACTTAACTGAGAAGAGGAATTTGTCAAAAGAAATATTTAATGATTTTGTAATAAACAGTACTTTCAGCCAAACTGTTAAAATAGGTGAATATCAAGCTTTTTGATTGTTACAATCTGCTGAGTAATTTTAGAGAATGCACAAGGTCAAGGCTTTGCAAACATTTTACTGCTCAGAATGCTCTTGGTAGCAGCACCTGGCCTTGTTCCAGTTCAAATACTGCTACAGAATTGCGTGGCATATATTGTGATACACTTGACACAGTTTGGAAAGGGCAACCTTTGAGATCTCTCCCCAAAGATTTACTTCCTGCCTGCCAAGTCAATCTTCTCCATATGCACAACAAATGTTATTTTAATTATTGTACCTGCAACTGCTAGGACAGAAAAATCAGGGGCAAAAAAGGTAAGGAATGAGGATTTTGTGCTGAAAAAAAAAATACCCTGTTCTTAGTAGCATTTTCCACTTGCTTCTGTAACAACAGCACAGGGAGCAAGTTCAGTTTGGCGCTCTTCCCTGACTCACTTGTCCTACAGCAATAGTTGGACTTTTACTGCATGTTCCTTACCACAGTAGCCTAACATGCAAGGAAAGGTGAACAGAGAATTGCAGAGGAAAGAGGAAAAGAACTAGCAAGGGAAAAGGGAACTATTCCTCTTAATGCTGGAAAGAGAGATGACAAACTGCTGGACAGATAGGCAAGGCAAAGTGGAGAAATGCACGTATACTTCCTACTGCCAGGAAGCAAAAGTTTCCAAAATATTCAGCCTTTCCTTCATGGACATCAGAAGTACCCTCCTTTTTGTGACATCCACATCACATTCAGTAATATATCAATACCTAAGTCACGTTAAAACTACAGTAAAGAGTACTGTAAGGCAAAGTAAGAAAAATTAACAGTGACACGCTTACTGTTTTTGGTTTTTATGCATATCTAATCAATAGATAATAATCCTACAGATATTCCTAAATTGTTATACAGGTATACTACTTGGTAGTACTGAAAACTAAGACTTTACAACCATTTGAACAAGACCACATTACTGGATCTGCCAATGGAGAGTACCTTTTGAAAAAAGATGCCAGGCAGACTCCTCTTACATTCCGATTTTTTTTTTGTTGTAGCTGTGCCTAAAAAGGGTATGTCATGCATGGTTCTCCATTTTCAAAGCGGTACAAATGAACCAGAATCATTATAGCCAGTGGACAACGGTGCCCTTTAGGCAAGTATTTTTTCTCAATTGGTGAACACAGAAAGTGAATGAGCCAAAACACCAAATCCCGATTTGTGAATGGCCAGGGAACTGCTGTGTGGTGTCTATCTCCACTTGCAGGTCCATGTACACCTCTCTGCTGCATGTCAGCTCTCCAAACCAAAACTCCATTTCTCACAGGACCAGCAGTATTCCTTAGCCTTACGTGCCTTGCCCTCCCCCTAGAGTTTTGCACCACTTCTGTATATGTCCTGCAATGGCAGGACAATGTCCATGACATGCATCATATTGACATTTTTTAACAATGTAGACACTCAGCCTCACTTTGGCCCAATTACACCCCTGGGCACTACTGAGTACATTCAGTACCATTGCACATAGAAACTGAAACATCCTTGTGAACATGAGAACAGCACCTGAAGATAGCTGCCTGAAAGAAAGTGCCCAGTGTCTGCAAGAGAGCTCTTCTCTTTTCAAACTTGTTGAAAGGTGAGTCACATTGATCTCACAGCGAGTCAGGCTGTGGGAGATAGAGATTTCTCCTCCTCTCTGAATACTGTCATTTCAGTAGCAATGGATAACACCTTACATGCTGCAGCTGATTCAGCTAAAAATCTTGCTGGCCTTTTTAGTATCCGATCAATAGGTTTGCCTCAGTATTTCATTCACACTGCACAGCACCTTGGAGTGGCTGACACACACTACAGCTTTGCAAATGGAGCTTAGGCTCGTGCCTTCCACTGCTCTGTTTACACCCACTCACACACTGTCCCTCCTGTCACTATAGAATTGTCTGTCCAGCTCCTCCCCATTGGAGAACATTGGTTGAATAATCATAAACAGATGAAAAGCAAATTGGAGAGATTAGTCTTGAAAGGGTTCTACTCCTCTGGCTTAAACAGAGACAGGCTCAAGGCCACTGCAGAATGAGTTTAGGTTGTAACAGGTCTGTTCAGCGAAGGTGAAGCAAGGCTCCTTGGTTATACATCAGAACTTATGGTTATGAAGGTGCTGGCCCTAATATTTGTGTGCAACATTACATATTTTTTTATATTTCAGTAACTCAAAACAGCTGTAACTGTGATAAAAATAATCTTGTGGTTCTTCCATGCTATGTTCATTTTAAGTTTACAATCCAGTTTTGAAATTCACCAAAAGAGATAAAAAACCGGAGTAAATCAACTAGTGATATTCTGAACGATCTTCTTAATGAGCACCAAACAATTTCAAGACACTGACAACCAAGAAAGCCATTAATTCTACAGGTCATACTTACGCAACCAGAGGTGTAACTTTTGTTATGTACAATCACTGTAAACAACAGCTTTAAAACTTAGGAAGTCCATCTTGCCGACTGCTGAAGAGGAGACAAAGATTTACCAAAGGTTGGAAATGCCAGGATGAAACAGCAAGCTGTTGAATGCTATGTTTTAGCTGAACTGTATTTCTTCGTCACTTACCATATTTCTTCCTCTTTTACACAAGAATTTGAAAAGGATAACTGCAAGTTCTCTTCTTATCTCCCACCTAAGCACACAATGATGCTTAGAGATTTACAAACACAAGAAAGACATCTGTTCTTGCACATGCAGAAAAGATGCTGCAAGTGTAATTGTGTTCCTTTCCTTCAGAGACCTGATACACTGCAAGTTTAATTTTCATTATTTGTTGATTTTAATATGTATTTTTCCCATTGTTTACACAAAAATAAATACAAAAGTTAAGAAAACTTTATTGATATTATACCTGTAAATAAATCAAAAAATTATTCTAAAAAGTGCGTATCTGTAATGTTAGTTATTGTAATAACTAATTTTCCTTTCAGGACATAATTCTTTTGTCAGTCATGCAGTTGAGAAATTGATATGAACTGTGTCCTTACAACCGAGGGCAGATTCTGGTATACCAGTGATTTTAAAAGAAAAACGGACTTGGTTTGAATACCACACTTCTGAAAAAAAAAAAAAAATTTTTTTTTGTTTGTGGTAATTTACTGATTATGGACTTGGTTTGAATACCACACTTCTAAAAAAAAAAAATTTTTTTTGTTTGTGGTAATTTACTGATTAACTTAAGTATGACTCTGTATCTTCTATAAATAGAACATCATTATCAAGATACTCCAAAATTATATTTCCACCATTGTACAATGGATATTCTTTATCACATAGCCATGTTTCTAATGTGTGTTCAAATGGCAATGCTTCTCCAGAGGCAGCATGGCATAATCTCAGTTTCTGTAAGACAAATAGCACAGAAGTTAATATCAAGATTTGCCTATCTGAGATGCAAGAAGTGGGGTGAGGGAGGGACAAAAGGGAAAAAATAAGCAAAATCAAAACCCAACAACCTGGGAAATGTCTGTTATTATTACTGATTTACCTGAGATGTTGATTTGTTGTTGTTATTTTTAAGGCTTGCTAAGGAAGCTGCAAAATCTACTACTTTGCCAATACTCCACTTACTGCAAAAGAACATGGGCTTGCTTTTCTCTTTGTTCCCCTTTGGTAAAAATACTTGAAAGTAAATTCTTTCTGTCTAGAAAAACACAGAAAATAAACAAAAAATTATTCACAGAAGAAACACGTAATTCCAGTCATACACATCTAATAATTTTTCAGTAAAAAACTTAAACTTCAACCCAAAAATTACCAACCGAAACTTGTTCCTATTCTGTCAGGACCAAGGCCCCATTTTACTGCAGAATATAAATGATGGAGATTAAGTCCAATTCCCTCCAGCTGCAGGCACACACACAACGGCCTGAAGTTGCGCCAGGCAAGGTTTAGATTGGATACTAAGAAAAAAATATTCACTGAAAGGGTTGTCAAGCATTGGAATAGGCTGCCCAGGGAAGTGGTTGAGTCACCATCCCTGGAGGTATTTAAAATATGTGCAAATGTGGCACCTGGGGACATGGTTTAGCAGTGAGTTTGGCAGTGTGAGGTTAACAGTTGGACTTGATGATCTTAAAGGTCTTCTCCAACCTAAATGATTCTCTGATTCTGTGATTCTATATGATGGACAGTAAGTTCAGAAGGGTGGAAAGAACATCTTTTGCCAGAGTCCCACAGCTAGACTGTATATAGATAGACATGAAAAGGTGTCTGGGAAGAAAATGGTGAGTTTAAATAAGCAGTGCTGGCTTTTGGCAGCAGTATAATGTCTCAAATTGGAATGCAAAGACGGTTAAAACAGAACAATTAACCATGCTAGAAAGACCTGCTTCACAAACCAACATTCCAGTCACACAGCTAATCCTTTATCCTGGTTTTCCTCCTTTTATGTACTAAACAGTCTTTCAATATCTACTAGACTGAAATATTTGTTTAAGAAATTTCAAGAGTAACCTATGAGGGAGAAATTCTGAACAGGATTGGGACAATCCCTTCTTCAGGTTTATTTCTTGACATTCAACAGAAGACACAGAGCAAGCATGACTGGTATATTCATCAGTTAAGACTACCTTTGCGGAGTCCAAGCCTGACACCATCAAGACAGACAAAAGTGGTCTTTTTAAAGGATTTATTTATGCCTTCCTTAGAAAAATTTGGAATGACCCTTCCCCGAGCTATGTTCATAAAACTGAGTCTGAATTTCAGCCTGTGCATTTTCCTCAAAACTTGAGTGCTTTCCACACACACAAAAATCCTTAACATCCAGTAATATTAGAAACAGCCATGGGAAGCAGGACCTGAATCTTGCCAAAATGTAAATGACCACAACTTGTACAACAGCTAACAAAACAGCCAACCTATTATGGACACACACCAACATAACTGAACTTCCTACAGTGGCTCCTCCAGTTCTAAAGATGATCAGACAGTCTCTCACGGTTCACGGGAACTTAAGTCACAAACCAGCTCATTCTACTGCTGCATCCCTAACTATGCGATATGCCTCCTAAATTTCTGTACTATATAAAAAAATACTGGTCAGTCATGGACACAATAACTAACACTATTGTGCAGCATGGCCCTCCTGTTTTAAGCTGGTCAGTTCTAAGAAGGATAATTCATATCAGGTCTGACACCAAAAGAAGCAATCATTTGCAGGAAGCTAATCTCAACAAAGAGGTCAGAGAAAAGATATTTCTAAGATAGCCTGATTTATCTGATCATAGAGTAGAAAGGTCAAGAAGGACCTCTGGTGTCATGTGGTCCAAAACCATGCTCAAAGTAGGTGGAACTTTAAAGCTAGACCTAACTATAAAGGTAGATCATATTGCTGCACATCCCAAAGATGTAGATTCCACAGCTTTTCAGAGCAGCTGGTTCCAACGTCTGACCACTCTCACTGTGGTTTTTCTTCCTATTATATCTAATTGGACTTTCACACGTTGCAGCTTGTGCCCATTGCCCCCTGTCCTTTTGCTGTGCCCCGCCAAGAAAAATGTGTCAATCTTGTCTATATAGTCATGAAGAACTAATGTGCCTAAGAGGCATTCCAGAGACTTCATATTCAAAAAATACATCAAACTGGAACAAGCTGAGCAAAAGAAAGCTAGAACGAGTCTAGGAAACAATAGAGAGAGGTGCTGAAGGTTAACAGACTTATCAGTGTTAGAATCATCACTATTCAACATGATTAAACGATTAATATCCAAATGAGAAAATGAATAGTAAGAGAAATTAGCATACAGTAATTTGTGCTACACTTTCTAGAGCTTACTGGCTTTGGAATTAGGAAGCAACTTTTAAAATTTTCTTATATACATTGAGGGTGGATTTTTAAAATTATATTCCACAATATTTTAAATTAATCACTTTCCCTCCAGTACATATTTATTAAAGTGGTACTCTCTGTGAAGAATGCTACAAGCAGGTCTTTGTATTATGACTTCTGCCTAAACAGACTTATCTAATTTCTAAGCATGATAAAGTATAAAAAAAGAAATTCATAAAGCACTAGTAATGGAATAGCTGTAGTTGTTTTAAGAACAATAAATAAATGTACTCTAAGATAAGACCTAACAAAAATATTATCATATGGAATGTTTTCAGTATTATAAAATCAATCTAACAGGCCTAAACTTGGTGTGCTCTAACATAACAGTGTGGTGAGAGTACTTTTTAAATACAGTTCTTTTAAGAGGCTGCATAAATACAGATCTAAAGTGAAACCCTAGATGAAAGAATCAAGTTGTTTCCAAACCCAACATAATCCTGATATGTGGAAAAGACCTGAACATCAGGTTTGACTGGCCACGGTAGTGAAAAACAATAAGGAATCTATGAAATACTTTAAGAATCAAAGAAACTAAAGGCTGAAAGAAACATGAAGCAAATGTCAAACTCCTTTTCAAACCCAAAGGCAGGAACAACTGACCTGAGGCCCTTCATACCTCACCCGGAAATATAACAACTGTCTATTAAATCTGAGTAGCAGAAATACAAATGAAACTTTGCAGAACACAATGCTCAGTTTCATGTGAGACAGGTTCAGTCGTGCAAGCTGTGTCCTGCCTGTGTCAGAACCCTCTCAGCACCCAGCATAAAAAGCATCCCTTTGTGATGGGTTTGCCATGTGTGACTGGTAGCCCCTGCTCCTGACCCCTGTTAGTTAGCATAACTAACACTGTTTTATAAGGCAAATGGACATTCGCCATGATTGATGTGGTCACTAATCAGTCCCCTCTCTCCTCTTCCTGATGGTCCTGGAGGTCCTGCACACCAGGCAGACAACTTCTACCTCTCCCTATCAGCCTCAAGGCTCCAGGGCTGACTACTCCCCTCCTTACCAGCCTTGAAGGTCCCAGGCACCCAGCCAACCCAGTGGTGATGATCCCCGTCACAGAACAGGGAAGCACAGCAGCACACAGAGCACTGGCCACAAAATCAAGCAGTTACGAGCCCTAAGTGGGACTTGGACTAGAACTGCTGTTGGAATGCAAAGTCCGTGATCTCCCAGTGGCCAGGGATGCCTCCACTGTCATCTACTTCCTCTGAGGACTGGGTGAGTAACTCGTATTCTTTTACATGTTTCGAGTCTAGATTATGACTGTGACATTGACACTGCAAGCCAAGTATTAAGATTTGACCTGATCCGCAGAGGGTCCAGGTGATTAGGAACCATAAGCTAAGCTGTGCTATAAAATTCTGTGCTAGGCTACTCATAAAATTGTGCTACGCTGATTCTGATTATAAAAATCATGTGCTACTCTGATTATAAATTTCTATACTAGACTGATCATCAAATTTTGTTAAAATAATAAAGCTTTAATTGTAATTATGACTTAGTGCTGTCATCATTCCGCCAACGATTCCGAAAAGAACCCGTAGCGTCGGGTGACATAATAAATTGGCTGTCAGAATTCTTGGGTCAGACTCATTTCCCTGATAAATGGGACTCCTGGACAAAGCGGTTTACAGAAAACAGAATGGCAAGATCCCAAGTTGGACAAGAAGTGGCTAGAGATAATAAGCAATGATCCAAAGGCTATATCAATGAGTTTAATAAATAGAAGGATATGTGTAAAGTGATGGACAGACAGAAGGAAGGAATGTGCTGCCTATTAGCCAGAGTATGGAAAATTGAGAATGAACAAGTTGAAACATTAGAAGAAGAAATTATAAAGTTGAAAGGTGAATTGTCAGAGAAAGATTTAGAATTAAGCATAACCAAATTAAAGGCTGATAGTGAGCCTGGAAAAAGAGTGTATCTTGAAAAACAATTAGTGCCACAAGTTACAGAAAAAGCAAGAAAACATAATGAAAAACTGTTAAAAGGTAGTCATGTAGATCCCATAAAGGTCTGTGTAGCTATGTATGATAGTGACTGGGATGGAGACATTTGGGACAGCCCAGGTGAATCTGATGAGGAAGTAATTGATCCTGCACCAATATGACCCCTGACTAAAGAAGAAATCACTACTGATGATCCACAGGGGAACAATCCACAGAGAAGAGATACTACCAACATTTGAGATTCTAGTGTGGATTATTTGCAAAAGATTCAGGCAACAAACCAAAAATGACCTGGGCAATCAACAGTTAAATGGTTGTGCTGCCTCTGGCATGATAAAGCAGCAAAAGTACCTTTGTTTGCAGGAGAAGCAAGAGACTTAGATTTAGGTCCTGGAATTTTTCTTACCCTCAGGGAATGTTGCTTGAACCTAATGGACCTTAGCTATTCAGTGGGCAAGAGGGATCCACTATCAAGACTGGAGTGAGTACAATTCTTTGGTAGGGTCGAGATGAATTGCAGAAACCATAATTACAAGCGGCTATTATAACCTTATTACATCAAGCTGCAGCTCCAGGTGACGAACCTAGTCCTCGGGACATCCCTGCTATGTCCTCCGATTTGATGTCTGATGGGATATGAACTGCAACGTCAGAGAAATTAAATCTTTATGCAAACATGCCAGGGTTCACCTGTAGAACTCCCTTTTTCACAAGTGCTCCACAAAATGCAAGAATTAAATCATGACCCTCCCATTCAAAGGGAGCAGCACCAGGTCCTAACTCCCTCGGTCCCACCTGGAGGTCAAACAAGTGCCCCACAGGGCCATCAGGCCACTTTAAACAAATAATAATACCATCAGGAGACTTCCTAATTGAACTGAAAGTGCCTGATCCGAGTAAAACAAGTGGTGGCATGCCCGCATAAATCACGGGTACACTGGTGATTTGCTCCGTGGTTTGCCTACAGAAAAATGATGATTGCTAGCGAAGGAAGGGGAAAAGGAGGAAAAGCTATCCACATCTCTACCTAGTGCCCCTCCCATAAATGGAAACCCCTTTGAACCACAAAAATATCCTGACTTACTTCCTATTAGAGAGCAGTATCAGGGAAACTAGACAAGGAGCTCAGACTGGCACAGGTGCAAGTGGCCCTACCCTCTGCCACTCAAGGACTGAGTTCCACCCTTCGGGCCACAGTAAACGACAAATTAAAAGACTGATTTCCTCATAGATACTGGAGCACAACTATTCATGACTAAAGCAGAATCATGTCTTGGAGCTATCCCTCAGAAACATTAGAAAATATTAGTAACTGGAGTAAATAGAGCAGTGGTTCCTTATTCAATTGTTAAGGTAAAATTAGAACTTCCCTTCTGCCTCCCCGTGCCACCCAGAAATAGCAAATGCGACTAGAAAACCTACATATATTTGTCACAGATATTCTGTGAGCTGGATACACAGCAACACTAACTGGGCTATTGAAACACCTCATGAAGAAACAATGCTAGGGCCCCTGCTAGGAGGTCACCTTTTTGGGGACCAAATGGATAGAGGGTAGGAAATAAGTCCCCTGCTCCGCCTGGCAAATTGATTATGTTGGACCTCTCCCTTGAACACACAAGGGCTGGCATTATATCCTTACTCAGGTTGAAATAATATCAGGCTTAGGGAAAGTTTTTGCTTGCCAGGAAGCTAATAGTCTTACCACTGTGGCAGGATTTAATTAATAGTTTGCTGACACTCCCATGCCCTCTGCTGTGCAGTCTGAGAATGGCACTCATTAAAAAAAGTAAAATTCCAGGAATGGCATGAAGATCATGGAGTTGACTGGTTGTTCCACCTGTCCTACAGACCCCAAAGTAATGGCACAGTTGAGAAGTGGAATGTTTTACTAAAATGAGCTCTAGGGCAAAGTTTATATACAGGAAAATGGGGTAAAGCCCTACCTAAAACTGTTTGACAGTTAAATAACTGGCAGACACCCACCGGCTGCCTGGTGGAACAAGCTAATTTTCCTGCTCTCTAACCCATAAAACACCTAAACCCCCTACTGTCAGCCCATCGTTTTTCTCAGGGTGACACTGTTAATTACCCTTTGATGGTTAAAATATCTGTCACTTTACTAACTCCCTAAGAAAAGGGCATGTGGAAAACTGTTTCTAAATGGGGACTCCCTTTTAACTTTCACTGAGGTTGCATAATTCCCTAGAATTAGTAATTTATTATAGCTTCAGGTAATGAACGATATTTGGACAGATTCTTTGGCCTGAACAAATCTGGAGTGCACCCAAGGAATCATCACTTTACCTTTGTGGAAACTTCAGCTGTAGAAAGATGATCACAACACCCACTGTATTATGCTTAACCTTTATTTGTACCCTCTTCCTCCCTGTTTCAAGAATGATCATCGTCTCATTCAGTTCATGAACATCATTTCTCAAATGGGCTATGAATCAAACTGTTGGTATTGTTTACTAGGCTGACTACTTCCCCTCCTTACCAGCCTTGAAGGTTCCAGGCACCCGGCCAACCAAAGGATCCCCAAAAGAAACTATCTGTCCCCATAGTGTTGGGTGACAGCCGTGTGGCAGGCAAATACATTTCTGCTATAAAATAAAGGAATTTGACCTAACCGCTCCAAACTCCACACAGACTCCTTATAACAGACATAGACTAGTGAGATTGCTTTTAGGTACCAGGCTAAAATAGATGTATAAATGACTCTGGGCTTGAAGAATTAAATCTAAAACCAAACTGAGGGAACTAGATGAAGATCAAGAAATTTAGAGAACTTCCCATTTTCTTTGAGAATTCAATTATTGAAAACAAACATCACTGACCTCTGGCAAGGACTTGTCCCCACACGCATGCATTTTCAGTTTCATCAATGCCACTTTTGCTGCTGTCTCAATGTTTTTCGCTCCTTTACATTTTTTGCTTTTTGCTTCTCCACTTTTTTTAGAATCTGAGAACAATATTCCTGTTAGTATGATGATTCAGACTGCCTCCTGAACATATCTTGGAATTAGCCTATTGGGCCTCATTGTATCTCCAAGGCTCCCATCCCTTTCACATCCCCTTAATATCGTCCTGGGGCCATGGTATCAGCTACTCTTATTCAAGAATACTTGGAATTGTAATAGTTCTAGCAGAACTCTTTTACACTGCAAAGTAGATGAACACTGTCTCAAGGTAAACACAAGTTGCAAAAGCCAAATTGATACAAATTCCTAAATTTCTAGTCCCGTGGCCATCACAGCATTCATATGGCAACAGCTTCAGGTCTTCCTTTCTACATGTAATACCACTGTCCAGTTAGGCACTGCTGTTTATTCTCTTTCCTGTCCTAGAGTTTGTTGAAAAGCTGCAAAATGTTACATTGTAGGCTCACTTTTTTTTTTTTTTTTTGACATCTTGGTTGTGTAGATATAATCCCAGCAGACTGGCATGTACACATAATATGATACACTTGCATTATTCGCACATGAATTAATATGCAAATAATAATGGCTAGGTACAATTGTGGTGGGTTAGCCCTTGGCTCGGGGCCAAGCCACACACACCCACTCACTGCATTCCAGCACTTGCAGAATGAAAACAAGATAACAACTTTGAAAGAAACCTGGCCCCTATTTAATGTTTAAAGATAATCTTTATAGACATACGCTACTGTTGTCTTGCCTCAGTCTAGATGAACGGTATTGCATGCTAACGTGTATTTAGGGTAATTTAAACAAGGAACCCCCATCCTGTCTTCTTATTTGATCAAACCTGAACCCTCAAGAGGAGGCTGCAGGCTCAAAGAGCCTTCTGAAGAAAACTGTAGAATATATATCCCAGTGTACTTGCCTATAATATGTTTAACTAGTTGCTGGGTGGCAGCCATTCGAGGTTTTGGTGTGTCCAGTTTCTCACACTCATGGTCTGATTGATGCCGGTGTCTGTAAACAACAGTGTAAAACTTTCATTACCTTTTCCATACACTAATGAATATTTATGCTTAAACACTCTGTTCCACTTACCTTAGACAAAAATGTTTTTCACAGTAGGGGCATAAAACTGGCAAAAGCTCCTTTCCGTTGCAGTCCTTGTATGAGCATGGGTAAGATCTGTGCTGATCTGGTTTCACAGAACTGTTTCTTATATTCACCTAGGCATTAGTACAAAATATTTCGTGTAAATAAACAGATATTACAGATAAAAGTCACCACCCCAGCTTTCCAAAAGAACTGTGCTAGCTCTCCATTCCATGGGCAAAACTAGTCCAGTGATTCTCTCCTACTTTTGTCCGGGTTAAGTTTAGTTCAGAGTTAGGAAAAGAGCCATCATTCTACTCAAACTCAATTTACTTCTGACAGGCAGAAAAAGAGCAGGTCCATTTTTTCAAGCGTGTCACATTCTCAGTTAAGTAATTCATACTTATATACTATGGGTATATATCTAATCTGAAAATAGACAGTTAAGTTGCACAAAATCTTAATTTTAAGGTAGTCATATTATTAGATTACCTCAGAACACCCATGAGCATCCCGGCTCCTGTGCTGAAGGCTTTGTAGCAAAAGAAGAAAATATCACACTGTTATTACCATTTCAGGAAAAGAAAACTGCACATCAAAACATTTGAGTGTTTAAAAAGTGATCTGGCCAGTTTTATCATGGGAGCACTCCAATTAAATAATTAACCTTCTCCAGAAATTTGTGCTAACCTATGCATTTCACATCTTGAAGAGACTGATCATGTTCCTGAGTATGTAAAACGTTTAGCTCTTGGAACGTATGCCCCAAGACCGCAAACCATTTCAAGAGAATAAGGGCATTAGCACACTTAATAATTCCGCTCAAAGGAACTGGAGTTTGTTTGTTTTAATGGATTTTGAATCACCTTCCACAACAGCAGAAATCCCTTGAAGGTTTCGAACATGTTACATGAAATCTGCCCTTATCTCAGCTGCCTTCTACTAATCTGAAGCGTAAACCAAAGTGCAGGCCCTGATTTGAGACCTTGAAAGAGACTTTTTTTTTTTTATACAAGAAAAAAATACACCCCCCCTCCCAACTAATCCATACAAAACAGGGTCTAAACCAGATGGTTTTGAAAACAATCTACCTGTATTCCAGAGACATTCCCACTGATTTCAAAACTCCACAACAGTCACTTGGGAAAAAAGTAGCAAGTTCAGTGAAACAATTATTTTTAACTAAATGTATCTGACTTGAGTCACAGAATGTTTTATACAATATTTAGGTCTATACAACTGCCACAATGAGATCTTGTGGGAAAACTTACCAAAAGACACCTGAACAGCCATCACATACAAAGGGGAGAAAATCTGAAATAAAGAGATTTGTTTTCAGTTTGACAAGATGGTCATTGTTATGCTAATAGTTTTTAGCTTAATTTTTACATAATTAACTTTTGCTTACCTATATCACGAGGTAGGTACCTTTACAAGGACACTTAGCAACTGCATCTACACAGTACCTAGAAGTGGCTTTTGTAACACAGTTACACTGTTAGCTCCTCTAGTTAGTACTACTGAAAAACATATAAGTAGATTATATACATTCCAGAACTTGTAATTATGTTTTAAATTCAATTTTTTTCAATATCACAGTTTGAAACCAGAACATTTAGCTAGCCATCAAACTTACCAGTTATGATTTCGTTGCAAGTCCACTCAGAATACTATTTACTGACTGCTGGAGCAGTGGACAATTTATACTTTTATATGTGGACTGCCAGATGGAGGAGATGCTATCTCTGCCAAAAAGCCTGCATCTCCTCCAGTTGACAGTCCTGATGATCCTGCTCCTTCCTCTCTGTCCTCCATGTCACACATACTGTTTTCATGTAATTTAAATTACACATACTTCTTAAGTCTCTGCACACATCCCCCATCTGCTACATCAATTCTGACAGATAAAATCATGTCACTGCCT